CTCAAACGGGCCAATGAACCTAGGGCTAAGCTTGCCCTTCTTCCCAAATATCATCACACCCTTCATAGGCGACACTCAAAGCAAAACTCGCTCATCGACCATAAATGCTAAATCATGAACCTTGCGGTCGGCATAACTCTTTTGCCTGGACTGAGCTGTACAAGCCTATCCTGAATGATCCTGACCTTGTCCAAGGCATCCTGAACTAGATCCTCACCTAACAACCGAGCATCTCCCAGCTCAAACCATCCAACCGGAGACCGACATCGCCTACCATATAAAGCCTTATAAGGAGCTGTCTGGATACTCGACTGGTAGCTGTTGTTGTAAACAAACTGTGCTAAAGGCAAAAACTGATCCCACGAGCCTCCAAAGTTAATGACACAAGCTCGGAGCATATCCTCCAAAATCTGAATAGTCCGCTCGGACTACCCGTCCGTCTGAGGATGAAACTTTGTGCTCAACTCAACTCGCGTGCCCAACTCTCGCTGAACTGCTCTCTAGAAGCGTGAGGTAAACTGCGTACCTCGGTCTGAAATGATAGACACGGGCACACCATGAAGGCGAACAATCTCCCGGATACCGATCTCAGCCAACCTCTCAAAAGAATAGGAGACTGCCATAGGAATGAAATGCGCAGACCCACACTACGTCGAACTTCCTCCGAGTCTGCGGGAGTCCAACAATGAAATCCATAGTGATCCGCTCCCACTTCCACTCGAGAAGCTCAATCCTCTAAAATGAACCATCGGGCCTCTGATGTTCTTATTTAACCTGCTAACAATTCAATCACCGAGTCACATATGCAATGATATCCTTCTTTATTCTTTGCCACCAATAATGCTGCCACAAATCCTGATACATCTTCGTGGCGCCCAGATGAATAGAGTGTCAGGAGCGATGGGCCTCCTCTAAAATCAACTCCCGGAGTCCATTCATATTAGGCACACAAACTCGACCCTACAATCTCAAAACTCCATCATCACCTAAGGTAACCTGCTTGGCACCTCCGTGCTGCACCGTATCTCTAAGGACACACAAATGGGGATCATCATACTTCCAATCACAGATACACTACAATAATGAAAAACGAGCGACTGTGCAAGCTAATACACGGCTGGGCTCAGAAACATCCAACCTCACGAACTGATTGGCAAAAGTCTGAATATCCAAAGCAAGCGGTCTCTCACTGACCGAAATATAAGCAAGACTGCCCATACTGGTTGACTTTCTACTCAAAGCATCGGCCACCACATTGGCCTTTTCCGGATGATATAAGATGGTGATATCATAGTCTTCAAAAACTCCAACCACCTCCTCTGCCTCAAATTCAACTCCTTTTGCTTGAACAAATACTGAAGACTCTTGTGATCCGTGAGCACCTCACATGCCACGCCATACAGATAATGCCTCCAAATCTTTAATGCGTGAACAATGGCTGCCAACTCCAAATCATGAATCGGGTAGTTCTTCTCATGAATCTTCAACTGCCGCGAAGCATAGGCAATGACCTTGCCATCCTGCATCAACACTACATCAAGTCCAATACAAGATGTATCACAATAAACTGTATAAGGCCCTGAACCTATGGGCAAAACCAACACTGGTGCCGTAGTCAGAGCTGTCTTGAGCTTCTGAAAGCTCGCCTCACACTCGTTCGACCATCTGAACTGGGCACCCTTCTAGGTCAACCTGGTCATTGGGGCTGCGATAGATGAGAACCCCTCTACGTACCAACGATAGTAGCCTGCCAATCCCAAGAAACTCGGAATCTCTGTAGCTGATGCTGGTCTAGGCCAGTTCTTGACTGACTCAGTCTTCTTTGGATCAAGCTGAATACCCTCTACTGATACAACATGACCCAGGAATGCAATTGAACTCAACCAGAACTCACACTTCGAGAACTTAGCATATAACTAACTATCCCTTAAGGTCTGAAGAACCACTCTAAGATGTTGCTCGTGATCCTCCCGGCTCCGAGAATATATCAAAATATCATCAATGAAGACTATCACAAACGAATCTAAGTAAGTCCTCAACACTCGGTTCATCAAATCCATAAATGTTGCTAGGGCATTCGTCAACCCTAATGACATCACCAAGAACTCATAGTGCCCGTACCGAGTGCGAAAAGCTATCTTAGGGACATCAGATGCCCTAATCCTCAACTGATGGCAGCCAAATCTCAAGTCAATCTTCGAAAATACCTTGTCACCCTGAAGTTGATCAAACAAATCATCAATCCTCGTCAATGGATACTTATTCTTGATCGTAACCTTCTACAACTGCTGGTAATCAATACACATTCTCATTGATCTATCCTTCTTCTTAATAAACAACACTGGCGCACCCCAAGGCGAAACGCTCGGCCTAATGAAACCCTTCTTAAGCAAGTCTTGCAACTGCTCCTTCAACTCTTTCAACTTAGGTGGGGCCATACGATACGACTAGATAGAAATGGGCAGAGTGCCCAGAGCCAAATCAATGCAAAATTCAATATCCCTGTGGGTGGCATACCCGGCAGGTCCGAAGGTAAAACCTCAGGAAACCAAAATACAGGCCCGATACCAACATGTTCTAATCAAAATTCATTTCCAAATCCTTTAAACAATTTCAGAAAACAATTTTTTTAAAAAATTCAATTCTCGGGCTTGGGACCTCGGAATTCGATTCCGGGCATACGCCCAAGTCCCATATTTTCCTACGGACCCTCCGGTACCGTCAAATCATAGTTCCGGGTCCGTTTACCCAAAACATTGACCGAAGTCAAATTAATTCATTTTATAGTCAAAATTTATCTTTTTCACAGATTTTCACATATAAGCTTTCCGGCTACGTGCCCGAACTGTGCACGCAAATCGAGGTGATGCTAAAAATGGTTTTTAATGCCTCGAAACATAGAATTCAATTTAAAAATAAGTGATGACCATTTGGGTCATCATATATATAATTCACTTGCTTTAAGGTTAATATATATATAATTTAGTAGTCGATACATAATTTTTTAACATTACGGTCAACTATATAGTTATATTGAACGTCTATATATACATAGTAGCAGAGTTATAATTTCATTTTTTGCTCTTAATTATTGGTTCATCATATTATACTAAAATCATATGGGTTTACAAATCATATTACATGACATTTTTTACACCTCATGTAAACAATGTCCTCCTTATGTTTTTTGAACCAATTCCATGTACATGAATTGATTTAATGGGAATTCAACCACTGAATTAATGCGGTAAGTAAGGAGAATTTCAGGAGTTGCATAACAATTCAATGCAAGTACTCGATCAGTCCTCTCATTCATCTTTACATCCTACTTCATTTAATCTTCTATGTTCATTAAAGGCCAAAATTTCAAGAGCCAGAAATGGAAGGGTCCATATGAAACTAATCGTTTGAACTGGTCCATATGAAACTAATCGTTTGAAATTTAGTTTGTGAGTGACTAAAATTTTTTATAAAATATTTGAAGGGAAACAAAGGGACTCTTAAAGTAACGATTGGAGGGAGGGGAAACATTTTTTGACTCTCTCTCTCTCTCTCTCTCTCTATATATATATATATATATATATATATATATATCTAAACATAAGTTAACCTATATTTGCTATGGAAGAAACGTTTCATATGAATACTAACGGGTGAATTGAAGAAGAAGAAGAATTCTATCTATGGTTTAGGATGAAATTGCACAGATCGTACATCAAGCGCGATTATATGGTAAATTTATTTTTTTATTTTTTTAGTTAACATTATATGATTTTTACCCTATTTTTCCATTACGTTTGTGCAGTACCTTTCAAAGAAAATCTGTCAATATCTTCCTCCTAGTATGGCTAAGACATTACTACGATGTAACGGGAAGAAGTGGAATGTGATTCTAACAGGTGTTGTTCGAAGAATACTCGTTAACGTGTGGAAACAATTTGTTGTAGACAATAAGTTAAAGAAATGGAGTGTTCTTTTTTTGAACTTATAGAGGCTACATCAAGTGCAGTGATATTCGTTGTTGAAGTGCAAGAATAGGAACATCTAATGCTTAGGTTTTTCATGTACGCTTGTGTTCAACCCTTGTCATTAAAATATTTATGGATTAATATGATTTTCTTATACTTTTATCTGTTTTTTTTCCTTGTATTATTGTTATACTTATTAAAGGATAGTGGAATTATCGTCTGTGATTTTTGCTTGTTATAGTTTTTTCATGTTTATGAAAATTATTTTATATATTTTCCTAAACGACTAAAACTTAAATGACTAAAACCTCCTCAAAATACGACTAAAACCTAAACTACTGGGAAGAGGACTGGAAATTACACCTCCTCATCTTCTTTCAGATGTAATAGAACCCAGAAAAAAATTTAAAAAAAACTCTTGACAATCTTAATACAATTTGGTCATAGAGAATTGGAAAAGTCATCACGAATAACGAAAAATTGTATTAATTAGTGAATCAAAGTATTGGAGACCAAAATATTAAATACAATTCAACCACCTCTAGACTCTTCGGACTAAAACAAAAGGGAAAGAACAATGTTAAAGCGGGGATTCAAACCTGCGTGTGCGAGTATGAACGGGAAAGAAATTGGAGATTTGATCAACCAGCGGGTCTATGGGCATTTCTAGTTGGATTCAATATTAGCTATGAAGATAGCTACGCTTTGTCCTTATTGTATTCTCTAGTCATCTATATGAAGACAATTATATTAAGCTAAATTATCCACAACTCCAGTATTAGCATTTAATATTACAAATACCTGTCTTTGTTAGAATACAACGTAACTAATCCAAAATCGTGTAGTAGCTAATATGCCATTACAAACACTATAAGAAAAAAATTTGATATGTTTAAGTTTCATAAATAATTAAACACCAAAGTTTATACAAAACAAGCAAAATTTCTTCAAAATCAAAAAGTTCTACACCAAAACAAAAACTACAATGCAATTAGGCCAATTGAGAACTCCATGTATCAGCAATATTCTTTATTATATTTCCATGTCTGGTTCGGCATTGAGATCAAACAAGCTTGATTGTGATTGTGTAGCGTCAATTTGCTGCAATTAAAATCAAACAAACACTATAAGAAAACATGATATGTTTAAGTAATAAATCAAATGTAGTCGCAAAATTATACCTCATTCACGCCTAGGGAACCATCATAATCAACGTTTGTACCTCTGCCTTGCCCATTACCCCTACCTCTATGTCCACCACCTCTACCACCATGATAGACACCAACCCTGCCACCACCCCCTCCACCCCCTCTAACACCAATTCTTGCACCATTACTAGCTCCAAATACACCACGCGGCTGTGAACTTGTAAAGTAGTATTCAATTCTTCCTCTATATTGATTCAAACGCGGTCTGCCACGTGAATTAGTGTACTGGGGATCTCGTAGAGTTATGCCTTCAGTTTCATCTGAGTCATCCTGGTCTTGGTTTGGCACGATCATTTCGGTGTCCCAGTTTTGAAGATCATGCACCATCTTTTTCAAATTATGCTTAACATATTGAATCTTCACGCTAGTGCCCAGTGTTATATCACAAGCCATGTCAAAATACTTCAACATGCTCCTATATGTTTTATACTCATGCGTCATGGTTGGGTAACCAACTTGATGGATCCGATTCAAGTGTGGCTTAATAACATCGCTTCTCCACCTTGTCAGTATATACCTTTCATCAATTTTATCAATCTTCTTGTGCGACAAGATCTTGAGTATATGGCAACAAAGTATCCCTCTAGACTCGAACCATTTGCAGCTGCAACTAAAATATTCGCCGATAGGTATATATTCAACAGTGTACTCAACTGGATTTCCATCATTTTTTGTTATAACTGAATAATCACTAACAATGAATTTCTCAATATCGGGGACAACTTGATGATCGTCGGGGCTACTGACTTCACAATGATACAATTTCCTTAGCTGTGTCTTGAAAAATTCATGCATTGTACGCGTATAACACTGAATTGCTTGTTGCTCCCACTTGAACATTGACTCGCACACAATTTGAAAGCCATTTGACCTGTATTATGCTTCCAACTCTTTCTCATGATTAGCGCTTATAGCTAACTCATACTGGTGAACAAACATCCAAGAGTGCTTTGATGGGTAATATATCCATCAAAGAACGCATGCATCCCCTCACTTCTTTGCGTAGATAGCATACCACCCCAAAAATACACATCAAGGTACACAGGAACCTATTTTTCCTTCTCAAAGTAAAGCTTGATGAACCAATTCCTTGTATGCAAATTATACCTTGCAATATATTCTATGCATTTTCTCTCAAAAACTTCAACAGTAATGCTGTCAAGGACCATGGATTTAAATTCTACATCTGCAATTTTAGAAGGACGAACACCACTTAAGTAAACAGGCAACTTTGAGAATATATGCCAAATACAATACCTATGTATTGTATTTGGCATCACTTCAGCAATGGCTACCTTAATGCTCTGACACTGATTAGTTATGATCGCATCTGGATGAACATTTCCCATGGCATCAAGACAAGTCCTAAAAACTAATTTGTAACTATCAAAATCTTCATGAGACATGAGAGCATATCCTAGTAAGATGGACTGTCTATGGTGATTGATGCCAACAAATGAAGCATATGGCATATTATATCGATTCACAAGGTACGTTGTATCAAAGCTTATCGCATCATGGAATTGCTTATACGATGCCTTACAGTGTGAATGCACCCATACCACATTTCACAGCCTACCAATATTATCAACGTCGATTGAATAGAAAAACTCTCTATCCTTTACCTGGATTTCATGAAAAAAGTGAGCAGCGACTGTGCATCCCCTTCTTGCATTTCAAAATTCCTACTCTTCAAAATATAATTTCTACAATCCTTTGGAGTGCAACCCAAATTTTGTGGTCCACCACGTTGAACCTTAGCAAATCTAATATTCTTGGAGGGTCTAATGCCAGATCGATCGTGAGCTACAAGATCCCTCTTCAAAGAATCACAAACAGGCCTATGTCCAGCCATCAGGCGCGATACGGATGGGAGAAAATCATGATTGTGATCGTGAACGACCTTAGAGACGCGCCAACAACCAGAATCATCCAAAATAGCAGCTAGCCTAGCTTTACAATTGTTACTCTTAGTGGTAAACTTAATTTTGCGAATCCTAGTCCTATCACAACAGTAGGTTATATACCCGACAGTGTCACCACGCTTCTTGTTGGAATTTCTTTTGATGACGGAGAACCCTCTCAGTCGTGCATGTTCTTTGTAGAATGCAAACAAAGTATCTTTATCTCTAAATCGCATTCTAGAGATTGGACCTAACCACATCCTCTTTAGTGAATTCATTCTCCATTTCCCGATCAACATCACATAACTCTAACTCATTTCCTAAAACCTGCTCCTTATCATCGTTAGCTTCTCCGTGATATTCTCCATTGGCTTAATCATCATCATCTAAGTGCACAGCAGCATCGGCTTCATCATCATCATCATCTAAGTGCACAACATTGTTGAAACTGCCGTGAGAATCAACATCGACCCATTCGTATTCATTCAACAAACTATCGTCCGATGTCATCCCTAAAGATCTGTACAACTCGTCCCTAACTCGATCAAACCTATTATCTTGGTTGATATTCATGGTTGTTGTATTTGTGTTATGTTTATTTGGATTCATATTTTGTTGCACCACCAAATTTTCTTGGTTTGAATCCATTTTTAGAGAAGGAGAAAGTCTTCGCTGGTTTATGGATAGGCAAGGAGGAAAGTGTCAGCTGGTTTAGGGTTTGGTAAGGAGGAAGTATACAAAATCGTATACCGTATTTGATTTTAAGAAAATACAATAATTTGTTAAAAATTAAAAAATGTATAATTGTATAAAATACACATAAATACAAAGAAAATACACAAGACTCTTCATCTCCCAACATTTAATTTTTGCATACTTCAAGACTTAAAATTTAATTTTGGGTCTTGGAGAAAAAAATGTAGGCTAATTGGATCATTTATGTATTTTCACTAATGTGGCCAAAGTTGGACACGCCAGTGTGGTCGTTTATATATATGGAACGTTTTTAAATTTTTCACACAGAAAGAAACCTTGGGAAAGCAATCAACTTTTGGTGCTAATTAATCCCATTGGTCCCTATATTCGTCGGTCTCTTCCTCATTTATTCATTACTTCTTTCTATTCTACTTCTTTGGCATCAGACACTTAAAGTGTGTCTTTCACGTGAGCGGAGCCAAAATTTAAAATTTATGGGTTTAGAATTTTTGACCGTTTAAATTAGTGGGTTCTATATTAGTTATTTATACATATTCAATAAATTTCTTAAGACAAATATAGAATTTAAATAAAAATTACTGGGTTCGGCCAAACCCGTAGCTCGTGCTCTAGCTCCGCCCCTGATCTTTCATGATGTCTTATTGTTCATAGCAGATCTGAAACAAATTATATTTTAAAAAAATGTACCTTGTAGATTGTTTGGAACAGAAATCCAAAACAAAAGCAAACAAAAAGTCAAAAAACACATCTGGTAGAATATAATTGCAGAAGCAACAAGTTTGCTAGAGAAGTGTCAAATCTACAAGCCCTTTGAATACCCAGAAGAAGAAAAAGAAAAAGAAAAAAGAAGGAGAAGAGGCGTAGGAGGAGCAGCTTTGTCTGGAGTGAACACATATTGGGTATCATTTAAACTTTTAATAAAAATTAAGTATAAATTAAATGGGGGTGACCAATTAGGATAACTAGTAAAAAATTTACCTTTTTTGAGGGAAGAAGTGAGGATCCTTCCCTAAAGTAAGTAAAGCAATTGCTTTGGGTCCCACATTTATGGGTGCCCATTTTTTGTTATACCTAATAGGCAATATATAAGTTAAAAAGAAAAATTATGTGAAGTGAAAATATTTGATTTCATTCTTTAACAAATATAGAGAAGAAAGATTTGCAATAGCTATGATTTTTGTCAAGAAAATTGCATTTAAATGAATATCGAACCCGAATTTTCTAAGAAACATGCGATATATAGGAAGAAACAATTTGATGAGAATGTTGATAATGAATTCTCAAAATCTCTCGAAGAGTCTTTTAGAGTTAATTAATATTTATACATAGTAGACAAAACGATTTTTTCTCTTCAAAATAGATTTGAACAATTCGAGGCATATGAAATATTTTTTATTTTCTATTTAGCGGTAAAAAACTAAGATCACTAGATAATGAAAATTCGAAAAAATAGTGCCTTAATCTTCAATGCTCCTTAAAGCATAATAATCAATATGATATTGATGGTTTCGATTTATTTTCTGAATTAAAAGTATTAAGAAAAATAGTACAATTAGAAGATAATAATTTAATTGCTATACTTAATTAAATGAAAAGATTTGATTCTTTTCCAGATGCCTATAGTGCTTATAAAATAATGTTAATAACTCTTGCTACCGTTGTTTCAATATAAAGAAGTATTTTAAAATCAAGATTGATAAAATCTTACCTAAGATAAAAAGTATCTCAAGAGAGATTAAATGGATTAGCTAATTTGTCAATTAAAAAAGACTTATTAAAATAAATTGATTATAAGAAAATTATTAATAACTTTGCATTTCAAAAAAATTAAAATAGGTGTGGGAGGAAGGCTTGAGGTAGAGAGAAATATATCTGAATGGTTGGTAAGAATATAATCTTGAATCGTTGTGTTAGATTGTGTTGTCTTTATTTCTTCAGTCTTTGACATAATTTATGTTCCTTTACACCTTGAAAACAAAGTTAAAGTGGTAATAAATGTGGACTACTAACTAGCCAACAAGCTGGATAGCTCAATGACAGTGATGGAAGCAATTCCACATGAAGTGTATTCTGACTGTGTCCTCTCCTTATCATCCACCCAACCCCACCCCTCTCACTCTCTTAAGAAAAGGGTGGAGACCTGAATTATACACATGTAAGTCTACTATAATACTATTCTTTTTTTTCAATTTATAATAATGGTATTCGAAGCAATTTGCATGGTATTCGATTATTTATATATATTTATCACCAACAATTAAATGTAAGTTTACTAAATGGTTTTCGGATTATTTTGCTCGCATCTTTATCATTTCATCAAGTGCATACCATTTGTGTAACCATGTAAGTATAGGTAGTTCCATATTTGTATCTTGTACTTGGACCAAACTTGAAGTCTTACTCTTCATCTCGACATCACTACCCTATAAGCAAATCTGTATATCACACCAAACAAAACAAATTAAATCTGACCTCTAAACTAAAAGCAACATATACTTTAATTTGTGTGAAAGAGATCTTGTGTGGTATGACTCAAACTACCCACCAATACCCAAACATCCTTTCCTTTCAAGTCTTCCAACCATAGTGTTCTAAATTCAGTCAATCACTTTCTTTTGATATTTCTGCCAAATGCCAACTATACTAAATTTTTAGGGTATTCCATAATTTAACAATTTTAAGTATCCCTTTGATTTAAAAAATAAAAATAAAAAATCTTAGGGTATCAACTTTGCTTTCAAGAAATATTCTAAAATTACTAGGATTCTTAACAAGGCATGAGGAGTGCCTCCTAGTGGTGGCGCTTTAATTAAAGAAGTCCATCATTATCAGAAGCAGCAGAAATGTATTTCTCAAAAATTCCATTTGGTTTTTCCTAAAGATATACTATATAACTGCTAAAGCAGAATGAGACTCTTCAGTTGTCTTCTCTTGTGAAAGTCAAAAGCAGACCAAAAAACAGCCTCCTCTAAAAACCAAATCCCAGCATATATCCATGGCTTTTGTTCTTTACAACAGACCAAAAATGGCTTTGCTTTTCTTGATTTTAGGTTCTTTTGTGCAGCTCTCCTTTGGGTTTACTTACAAGGTTGGAGATTCCGCTGGTTGGACAACTATTGGTAATGTTGATTACAAGCTATGGGCTGCTAATAAAACCTTTCAAGTTGGTGATACAATTGGTATGCCCTTTCCTCTTCCCTTTTTTCTTTGACGTTCATATACATACATAGAAAGATCTCTTTGATTTCATAATTCCTGGTATTATCAAACTCTTGCTTAATTTTTCCAAAAATTTGTGATCCTTTGTAAAATCTTACATTCTTGGAGGTTCTAAAAGACTCCATTTCAAGTTCCAATGTTTTCACATGGGCTTCATGTGTATAATATTTTTTGCAAAATAATGGAGGATGATTCATAAAGCTCCATTTTCTAGGTTTATTTTCTTGTTTTACTTCAACAGAAAGGAGATGTAAAATTCTTGGAAGAAAATTGAAACAGTTGTTTGTTCTAACTTTAGGGAACTCCAATAACTGGTATCAGTCCCCTCTGTTTGCCACTATCCACATTAAATTATATAAAAATATGTATTCTTTGGGCACACTTGCACTGCACAAGAATAGCCTTTTACTCTGTTTTAGCCTGAAAGTTTTTAACTTTTAGACAAACATGCAATGCACAAAAATAGCCCTTTTCTTTATAGTTGCAGGAAAATATTTAGTTTATTGTTCACACTATGTCCTTGACCACCCCCACCCCCCAATAAACTTATATCTACCTATTTTTCTGGTGTGTTCATTTTTCAATCCTGAATTTTCCTTCAATTAGTTAGTCCCTCCTTTTCATATTAAATGAGTTACTTTTCTTTTTAGTATGTTCCAAAACAAATGACACATTTCTAAATTTGTAAATAATTCAACTTTAAACTCTTTCATTTTACTCATTCAAGCTTTTATAGTCACACAAATGTCATGACCCCACAAATTTTTTACACAAACTTTTAAGACCACAAATTTCAAAAATCTTTTTCTTTTTTCTTAAACTCCGTACCAAATCAAATTACTTCCTATAAAATGAAAGGGAGGGAGTATTTACAGATTAGTTTTGTCAGACAAATAGTCAATTTAGCTTTGAATAAGAGTAAATTGAAGGTCCACACCTATACGTCCTCTATCTTTCTCCTGGCCAAGCCTTTCAAGAAGATGGACTTGTGGTACCAAATTTGGTGAAATTACTGGTGCAATACTTATTTTCTTCAACTATTTAAATTTCCTGTCTGCCCATAATTTAGAGAACTACTAGTACTATATCAAGTGTCCAAGGACTAAAATTACTAGTGGCCACGTTTAATAACTTTTCTACTTAATTTGGGTTGATATTGAATTGATTTGTGTGATCCAGTGCCATGCTTTCATTATTGAAATTTGAATGCCCCCACTAACTGACCAAGTCCCAACCACTAACTTCTAACATGTATCATCAAGCTACTTAAAAACTAATTTAAGGCAAAACTATCTATTTA